AAGTATTGGTAGCTTACTGTCGACGTTCTACAGTATATTAAGTCAAGCTATTCCTGCATCCGTTCCAATCAAGCAATCCCGTCCTCGGAGCAAGTGTCTCCCGTGGTTTAATGAAACAATTAAATATTACAAGAATAGGAAAAACAAGCTTTTCAAAAGATTTTCGAGAAGTGGTTCTTCTTTCCACTATTTCGTTTACGCAGTGGCAAGGCATAAATTTAATTCCCTCAACCGCCAATACTATTGCAGATACCTTCAGTTTGTTAAATCCTCCATGTTTGCTAATCCTAAATACTTTTTTAAGTTCGCTAATTCCAAACGAAAAATCTCCATAATTTAATCGCTCCGAGTCCTCGGATGATTTTGAAACCTCAAATCTCTTTGCAGGATACTTCCGACAACAGCAAATTATCCATATCCGATTGCTAATTTGATCTCAATTCCTAACTTTGTTATATCTGAAAATGATTTTTTGGAGGATTGAGCTCTCTAAAATATAATTGTTCGCCTGGATCTGATGGAATCCCCTCATGTGTACTTATATCTTGTGCTGGCGAGCTATGTGGTGTTATCTCAAAGATTTTTAACAAGTCCTTGAATTTAGGGGTTTTCCCTTTGTGTTTGAAGACTTGTTTCCTTATTCCTGTTCACAAAAGTGGTAGTAGGCAACTTGTAGAGACCTACAGAGGCATTGCCAAGTTGAGTGTCTTGACTAAACTGTTCGAGCAAATTGTGGCTCAGCATATAGCCTTTTCCATGAAATCGGATATTTCTCCTTTCCAACATGGCTTTCGAAAGGGAAGATCAACGGTCACCAATCTGTTAGAGTTTACTTCTCATGTTTTCAAGGCTTTCTCTAGTGGCTCTCGCACTGATGTCATATATACTGACTTTAGCAAAGCGTTTGATTTGGTTAACCATAGACTACTTATCTTTAAACTCCAAGCCTCTGGCTTAACTTTCTTCTTAGTGCAATGGTTAAGCTCTTATCTGCATGGTAGATCATTCAGGGTTTTATGTAACCTCATTACCTCGGATGAATTCCCGTGACGTCTGGCGTACCTCAAGGTAGCTTAGCCACTTAGGACCCATTTTATTTAATTTATACATCAATGATTTGCCCTCCGTGATTAAATTCAGCGAGATCTTAATATATGCTGGTGATGTGAAACTGTTTTCTTCCTTTTCCGTAGAATCGCAATCACATCATCGTCAAAGTGATTTGAATATTTTGGTTGCATGCTCTTTGCTCTTGAATCTTCTGAAACTATATTTAAATAAATATAAGAAGCTTTCTTTCTCAAGAAGGAAGTCGTTCATTACTCAATATTTCATTGATTCGCACAAGTTGGAAGACGTCGATTTGTTCACAGATTTAGGCGTTCTATTTGATTATAGGTTACGCTTCAATTTGCATATTGAGCTCTCGCTAACTTGAGTATGCCTCTGTTGCGTGGCCTCCCTCATATAGGTGGTACGTAGATTCAATTGAATTTGTTCAAAAGCAATTCTTGCTGTTTGCGCTTAGAATTTAGCTTGGGACCCGATTGCCCCTCTTCCACCCTATGAAAATAGGTTGCTTCTGTTATCGTTACCGTCACTGGAGAAACGTAGATTTGTTCTTAGGGTTTCCTTCGTAATCAAATTAATAGATGGTACAATTGACTCGCCCGCATTACTTCGTGAGATAGGCTTTAATGTTCCTAATCGCTTCTCTAGACACTTTATCCTGATAAAGCTTAGTCAATGCACTAACACTTCAATACGTGTACATATTTACTAACATCTAATGCATAAATACGTGTGAATGCGGACGTATGTAAAGAAATTTAGATTGGAGAAGCGAAGAGGATGGAAAACCTTCTGTAATAATGTCAAAAGTGATATGTCTATACTAGTGATCTACGGCAAGTAGTTATTATATTCAGAGGAGACAGCTTTGCGCATGATTCAATGCTCACTAAGCTATTTAATGAACTTTAACCTTTCTGATCCTTCTAGCCATATCAAACATTGTTTTTCGTTTGATGAGTTGTGTGGCTCCTCTACTTTAAGGAAGATTACCCTCGTTAAGTTTAACAAGGCATTAAGTGTCTCTAAGGGCACATCTGCTGGATTAGATGGCATTCGAAATTTGATTTGTAAGGAATGAGAGCCAATTTGACGTTTATTTATTTTGTATAAGCAAACCACATATAGCGAACAATAAAACGCACGCAAATGAAATAAATAGAGAGTTATGCAGAATTGTTGTTAGGTGTAATGTTGTTGTACTTGCCTTTACTTAATTTTTTTATCTTTTTCTTCACCTTTCGTAAATGTAATTTTAGACACACTCTATTTTCTTTTAATTATTTTAAATTTTTGAATGATTAATTTATTTTCCAACAGCAGTTTATATTTTTCTTTCGCAGCTCCAAACGCAGCTCTAAAAAGGAGATCTGTGCAATTTGGTCTAAGCGACATCAATATTATTGTCGCCAGATTTGATGTCGTTGAGGGAACGCATTTAGCGATAATTGCCAAAACATTTCCACACACGATTAGATTTTCTTGGCGATTGTCGCGTGCTTAAATGTACCCCGCAATTCTTTCTGGGCTAAATTGGATGATATTAAGATGAACGATATAACAAAAAGCCATGTACATTGCTATAGTTGTCCCTTAAACTATTTGTTTCAATACTTAAATGTGGGGAATAGTTGTAGCTTGGAATTTATGAGACGGCGGCGCAACGTTATTGTATCACTTATTCGATTTCACATTGTTTCTTTTTGCCCATCCTGCGAAGTAATTGTATATATTTTACGGAAATTGGTATCAAAAAATAAACAGCATTATTAATAATTGATAATTTCCGTCAACTGGCGTCTTAAAATTTTTTTAATATTTTTAATTAGAAACAATTTTATTAGATTAACTTGTGTGTGGTGTTCTTAAGCCGCTTCAAAATTTTATCAGATTTTTTTGAGACAATACCTGTTTCTGTAGGTACATCTTTACATCTAAAATTTTGGAATTCTAGAAATAGATATGCTTATCCTCTGGGTAATCTGGCTACTTTTTATGATATCATTGAAAGCATTGCTTCTTTTTTTATTTAAGAACAGAAAGAAACTAAAATTAGAGCTAAAGTAAGGTTAATAATAAATCATAAGCATGTTACTAGTTCAAATCTATTAAAAAGAATTATTGTGAACAACGCATGGCGTTAATAGCTTTATTATATATTTAAAATAGCTTTATTAATATATATGAAAATATATATAAAAGAAATTGTTATTCTTTTTAATGGTTTTCGATTCTTTCTCCTTGACTTGGTCGCTTTTGTTCTTCTATCATCTCCTCTAGTGTTTTGGAAAATACGCCAACCAAGCTTATTTAATTGTACAAGTTAGCCTAAAAGTAGACCGCCATAATTTTTTTTTTTCTATTATCAAATTAAACAAAACAGTAGCTAAATTTTCGCTATTTACAGAAAAAAGGTAATACTCTATGCTATTTACAGAAAAAACGTAATACTCTATGTTAATTTGCAAAGCCGTCGACAAAAGTCCACAATTTCTTCCAAATTCTCTGCTAATCAATAAAAAACATCTGTTGAAATTCTATACTAACAAACAAATTGGCAATTTAACAACCAAAACAACAGCAGTAGTGAATAAGTAGTGAATAAAGCATACAAATAAATAAAATAAAGTTAAAATAAAGTGAAAATAAATAAACCGTTTATATACAGGCCGTTTATAAAATTGAGGTTTTTCTTTACTTTAAATTAATCTACATTAATTTACACCTAAAGGTGGGCAAGCAAAGCGACCGTTGAACTCTCTGCTAATTTACAGAGCGAACGTAATACTCTATGATATTTACAACAATAATTTTTGTTCTCAAGTTACTATATGCAAAAATATTGCCATTTTTCTAATTAGAAGCTTAAACTATCAATAGCCTGAAAATTATATATAGCAAAAAAACTATTGTCTGCTTTTTGGCCTATAATATTTATATCTAAATGAAGCTCGGTTATCATACCCTATCATTGCTCCGGTGGCTTTGCTTTTTATTTTTCAATGTATTAGCGGGAAATCTTTGTCTTTGATAAATGATAATCACTTTTTCATTGTTGTAAGACGCGTTTTTATACAAACTTAAAAGAGCTAAAAAGAATTGTCGGCGAGTTCAATTTCTTTAGTAGAAGAAATATATTGACGCATCAGTCCCTGGCAAAGATATTTGCCATAACACTACCACATTAAGAAAAGTTGCGCATTAACAGAAGTTCTTATCAATCGCTCGGGACATTTGCAAAATATTATTTGGTTTACCAAGAACGTCGGCACAATTGGCCACTTCACATTTTCCGCCAAAAACAATTCTTTAGTACTTGAAGATGCTTCACTGAGGTAGTAATTTTTCGCGAAATTATTGATCTACGGTTCGCAATTTGTTAAACGATACAAAAAACTTTTAAAGTTTTTAAACGTCAACCACTTATCTCAATAATTTAATATTTTACATATTAATTCGCAATCATTTTTTGTCATTTTAGTAAGAAACTTTAAACTATTTTAGTGATTTGCAAAGAGTTACTACTGTTAACAGGTGTTTTAGAAAACTTACTTAAACTTGCAAAAGAAGACCCTATGTATACGTTCTAAACGCCTATGATAAAGTCGAAGTAACTTAATCAACAAATCAATAACACACAATTTTTGTCCATAATTTAATTGATAAATGTTATTAAAATAATGCTTATTAAACTTCTTTATTATTGATATATTTACTTTGTATACAATGCATTGACAACAGAAAAGGCGCGACAACCTAGAATGAAACGAAAAAGACGAGAGAAAATAATACGATATTAGATTTATTGAAAATTCTTATTCATATCTCATTGTAGCGTAATTATTTTATTCAGAAGACGCTTTGCTAAATGCGTCTATATAAAAAACCAAACAGCAAAGGGTTACAACAATTTTTTTCATATATTTCAGTTTCTGTTATTACTGCAGGATAAATAAAAGTATGTGTAAATTAAAAAAAGAAAATGTAGAACAATGGCAACATTATCATGTACAGAAAGCAGAAGATAGGATGCGGAAAGAGAAAGAAGATTGAAAAGAAGACAAGAAGAAATTAATGAAATAAATTAAAATGTCTCTTGATATTTGTTAACCAACTGTTTGTTAAATTATTTGCAAATGTTACGGTTAATGTGATTCTGTAAATAAATATGGAAAATAATGTTATGACTCAATTATCGGAAGAATTGGTACAGCGTTTAAGCAGTGGCGGAATTGATTTAGGTAAGAGACTGTCAAATACAAAAACAAAACCACAACTCTGCGATGAGTGTCAATAAAGAGCTTCATACATCCGGGAAATGAATCTTTTATGTTCATATTTCAGAAGGTATGTCAGGCGAACTTTTTGGACAAAGTGATTTGTATATTACAGGGAACCAAGATGATAGCAATTCTCAAATAGCAATAGATAATGAAATTATTATGCATATGGATATAAGAGAACCGTTAAAAACATTGCAGTAAGTTTTTTGCCAAAGGAAAAAGCTGCACTTAATAAGTGAATACATTAATTACAGCAAGCTTTTAGAAAAGAAACTAAACATAAGCCTTCGTGATTATGAATTCTGGCTCCAAGACGCTCAAGAAGTAAGTTCATCCACTTAGTCTTGATTGTTACAACTATTTAATTCAGTTTACGGGTTTAGCTGGAACCTCACAAAAATTTAGTGGACCAATGTGTAAAAGGTGAAGGCTTGGTTCAAATTAATGTGGAAATCAAATATATAGTTAAACGAATCAACATTTTGGATGTCCTAAAACCCACTGAAGACGCTTTGGGTAAGTTATTCATTAAAACACGAGACAACGGCTTCTTCATCTTTTCTTAAATTTGGAGTAGCGGCCTTGGCTGAGCAAGAGAATTGTAAAACAAATTCCACTTCGGATGATAAACAATGCAAACGCAATGAATATTCCCAATCCTTCCAGGGCGCTGAAGAAAAATCCCCATCCAAAAAATGTAAAAGCGGTCATGAAAGCGCTTCTACTTCCAAAAAAGAGAAACCTTACCTTAATTGGGTATTGGATAGCAAGTTTCGCAAGGAACAGGCACGTCTGAAAATACCCGACAATCCCAATGATTGGACAGTAGCTCATGTGAAATATTGGCTTCAATGGGCCATTAAGCAATTCGAATTGGTGAGTTTTTTACATATAGAAATCTATCGTTTGTCTTAACATCTTAATATTCTCAAAGACTAACTTTAATATGAACGAATGGTCAATAACGGGTCGTCAACTTTGCACACTCACTCATGAAGAGTTTCATAAGAAATTGCCTAAAGATCCTGGTAACGTATTTTGGACTCATGTGCAGTTGCTGAAAGAATGTAAGTTTGTGGCTGTTGTACATAAAGCTGCTGAAAGTGAATTAATGGAAAATAACGCAGAATTAAGTAAAAACACACCGTCCTTGTCTGCCATGCCACGAGAGCAAAAGATAATGCGCAAAAGTTTTCATAATACTAAGAAAGAAAGTAAGTCGTGATGGTCAAGTTGTTTAGGAAATTTCTTAAATATCCAATTGGTTAACACTTCTTTTAGCTGAAGTGGCTTTAGGCTCAGATGGTTCAATTACTCATAGCAATTATGGCATCGGTTCCGGAAACAACGGCCAAGTACAATTGTGGCAATTCCTCCTTGAGATACTTACTGATCGCGAACACGTGGACATAATTGAGTGGGTAGGTGATGATGGCGAATTTAAGCTTACTGATCCGGAACGTGTAGCTCGCCTTTGGGGCGAGAAAAAAAATAAACCTGCTATGAATTATGAAAAATTATCTCGAGCTTTACGCTATTATTATGATGGTGACATGATATCCAAAGTGTCTGGCAAACGTTTTACCTATAAATTTGATTGCGATCTGAAACTTCTGATCGGTTATAGTGCCGGCGAACTATCAGCTTTGGTCAATGAAAGAACCATTAGTGATTCTATTTACTTGGAGCAAAAAGACTATAAGTCGAATAATAAATGACAGTGGGTGCGAGTCAAAGAGGAGCCGTTATGCATTTTGAAAGAAGAATTTATTATTGAACCACCAGATTGACCTGGTGCATTATATTTTATTTTATTCCTTTTTTTTACATCATTGCATTATTGATATTTGTTTTGTAAACCTTCTCGTTACATGTGCACTTATTAAAATTGCTTGTTTATTATCTTTATCTGCTTTTGCAGCATCATTGGAAATGTGCAAGGACGCATGTCATTTTTTTACGATTATCAGAAACAAAATATTACATAGGTTATAAGTTAATGAAGTTTAAAAACAAGAATCCAATTTTATATTGAATAAAATTTACAAAATGTGGATATCGATTTGTTTTCTATTCATTGCCAAAGCCCTTAACAAACTGTTGACAATAAAAAACAATGAATGAATAATCGGCAGTGTAGAATCCTGCTTAATTCTCTGAGTCACTACACGAGGTTGCGTTTGTGGTTTTTTAAAACTCAACAGAAGAACGAAATGACAAATCCCTATTACTGTTGATTTAGAATAAGTGAAAGAATTCACCGGCATAAGAACTTTTTATGACAAATTGAAATGTTTTCAAAAGGGACTTTTGGTTTACATTTTCTTCACCATTTTTCGAGAAGAAGAAGCGGTTGTCCAGCGGATAATTTGGCGAAAGCTTACGCATTTCGAAAGCGCAATTTATTTTGCGCACATAAGGAACATATTTAATAAACATTTTGTAAACTATGCACCACATCATTTTACGCCACACAAAGAGAATTATGTAATTATATAAATCAAAAGAAGCTTGGAGCCAATTTTAATATCGATACTAGTTATAGATCAACATTTTAGGATTTATGAGGACTATTTTCTGTGTCCACTGTCCAATTTTCTATCTTAACCGTTTCTTTAGAAAGCCGGCGGCAAATTCTCTGCTATTTGCAGAACGAACATAAAAAAAACTCTATGCTAATTTGCAAAGCCGTCGGTAAAAGTCCCCAAGTTATTCCTCTTCTACAGCACCACTGCGAAAACGACGTTGCCATCTTCATAATTTTGTAAAGATCGCCAATCGTACCGGCATATTAGCGATTTTTCAATTCTAAAAAGTATTACAAAATATCGAACAACGGCAACATTACTGTTGTTGTTGTATTAGTATTGATGCAGAAGAACAACGAAGATTGAAAAATCCTCATAATACAATATATTAAAATGTTTCTACAATACGGCTTCATTAATGAATAATATATGAAAAACAACAATATGAGTCAATTACCAGAAGAATTGATACAACGTTTAAGCAGTGATTTAGGTAAATGGTACTCAATATCAAAACAAAAGCACATGCTATAAATTTTTTTACAAAACATGTTCAATTATTGAGAAGTGTAAACAAATGTGGACGCTTATAATCAGATGTTGGCAATTTTTATACAAATACACAGACCGGTTGACTTAACTGTGTTCGTCTGTCTATTTGTCTGACTGTGGTCACATTGGATTGTGAGTATGTATCAATTTCAAAACGAATCCTCATACGCCCACATCTTCAACCTCAAAGTAGGAAATCGAAATAATCGTCTGACTCGAAAAATTTGAATCAGAAAGCTTATTAAGTGTAAATTAGTATAACAGTATCATTCCCCTTTTATCAATAAGATATAACTGCATAATATTGTGCGAAACAGCATCCGGAAATTGACTCGTTTTGCATCAATTTTGCAGAAGGTATAATGTCGGGCGAACTTTTTGAACAGGATGACATTTATATTAGTAACAGCCAAGATGATAGTAATTCTCAAATGGCAGTGGACAATGAAATTATCATGCATATGGATATACGCGAGCCATTGAGAACTTTGCAGTAAGTGAATGAATTTTTGACGCAATGGTGGCCACAAGAAATGCAAATTGATATTTGTCATTTTTAGGAAACTTTTGGAAAAAAAACTTGGCGTAAATCTTAATGGCTACGAATTTTGGCTCCAAGACGCTCAAGAAGTAAGTTCATGCACCTAGTTTTGATTGTTAAAAATATTTAATTCTTTTTGCGGGTTTAGCTTGAACCTCACAAAAATTTAGTGGACCAATGTGTAAAAGGTGAAGGCTTGGTTCAAATTAATGTGGAAATCAAATATATAGTTAAACGAATCAATATTTTGGATGTCCTAAAACCCACTGAAGACGCTTTGGGTAAGTTATTGATAAACTTGTCTAAAAAATAAGTAGACATTTTTTTGAGTTTTGCAACAGCGGCTTTGAACATACAAGAAACTTGTGAAACAAATTCAAGTTCGGGCGATAAACAAAGTAGGTGTAATGAAAATACGGAAGATAGCGAAGAAGGCAAAGAAGCTCCAGCCAAGAAATTTAAAGGCGATCATGCCATCGCATCAACTTCATCGAAGGAGAAACCTTGTCTTAATTGGGTATTGGATAACAAGTTTCGCAAAGAGCAGGCACGTCTTAATATTCCCGAAAATCCCTTTGAGTGGACGGTAGCTCATGTCAAGCACTGGTTTCAATGGGCCATCAAACAATTTGATTTGGTAATTTTCCTTCCTTTTCGGAAACTATGTTTTATCTTATTGACTAAATTTTATTAAAGACTAATTTCACTGTAAATGATTGGTTCATAACGGGTCGCGAACTTTGCACACTCACTCATGAAGATTTTCGCAAGAAGTTGCCCAAAGATCCTGGCAATGTATTTTGGACTCATGTGCAATTGATGAAAGAGTGCCAGTTTGTGGCTATCGTACATAAAGCTGCTGAAAATGAATTAATTGAGAACAAAACAGAACTAAAGAAAGAATTACCAACTGATGTTCCACCTGCAATGCCACGTGAGCAGAAGATAATGCGCAAAAGCTTCCACAACACTAGAAAGGAATGTAAGCTAACATGAGGCTGTCTTAAGGAAAAATGACCTATTCTCTAACCATTTTTCTAGTAGGCACTTCGTCCGATCTGAATATAGGATCAGATAGTTCACTTACTCATGGCAACTATAGTGTAGGTTCGGGAAATAATGGTCAAATGCAATTATGGCAATTCCTCCTTGAGATACTTACTGAACGCGAACATGTGGACATAATTGAGTGGGTAGGTGATGATGGCGAATTTAAGCTTACTGATCCGGAACGTGTAGCACGTCTTTGGGGCGAGAAAAAAAATAAACCTACTATGAATTATGAAAAACTGTCGAGAGCCTTACGATACTATTACGATGGTGATATGATATCTAAAGTGTCCGGCCAACGTTTTACGTACAAATTTGATTGCGATCTGAAACTTCTGATTGGTTATAGTGCTGGCGAATTATCGGCTTTGGTTAATGAAAAAACTTTCGGAAATAAATCTATTTACTTGGAACATAGAGGCAACTTGAGCATTCAATCAAGTGACAAATGACAATGGGTGAGAGTGAAAGAAGAGCCCTTATGTACTCTAAAGGAGGAATTTATTATTGAACCGCCAGATTAAGAGGATGTCATTGAGACAGGATATGTCTTCTTTTTTTATAAGTTCGCTTAGTTGATAATATTTTATTTTTAACAGTTTTTTTTTGCTTAATTTCATTTAGTTTTCTTATCACTGAAACTGTAAAAAAAAGGATGTAATTTTGTGTTCTAATCGGTTACTTTTTTTGATATTGTTTTTATATCATTGATAGTTTATTTTCATTTATTTTTGTAAATATTAGCCACGTAAGGTTTTTTTCTTTGACTAATTAAGTTAGGTTTATCATTGAAATCCTGCCGGATGTCTTATGTTTTTTTTTGTTTTACTCAAGTTCACTAGAAATGTTTGTTAAATGAAATATGCAAATATTTTATGGAAAGTGTTAAATAATTAGTTGATCTAAAAAGAAGCTTAGGAAAAACAAAATTATTTTTGTACTAAATAAAAAAAAATTATATAAATCTATTTTACGTACTGTTCGAGACTTTTCTTAATTCAAAGAATGGGGAGAGGAAGGGGAAGAAGTTTCACTCTGCGCCTCGGAGGATAGTCCATGACCTTAAATACCAAATACAAAGCTTACAAATTTAGACAAGATTGAAATTTACAAAAGGCAGAGAATGCATTTTTCATTTCCTACGAATTTCATGAAACTGATTGAAGTCTGAAATAAAAAACAATACCAACGAACATTTGTGTGTATACATACCGTCAAGTGTTTAGAAATGTTCAAGATAATTTATTAACTAATTAATTTTGTTAATAACAAGATCGTTCTTTCTTGTGGCTAAAACTTGGGATTTTCAGCTAAAACAGTCGCTAATCGTACAAAAGTTCATCTTTCTACAAAATTGTATGTACTTCAGCCACTATAGGCACATCGATTAAAAGAAATTACAGGCAAAGTTTTATATAGAGTTACTTATATAAAAATATATACATATATATATATCTATATCTATATAGATATATTTACATATATCTACGAATGTATATTTATGTATGTTATGCATGTATAGATAAGTAGATATATGTATATATGTATAGATGAATAGTTGTGGTTATATAAGCTTTTGTGGTCAGAGGTATGTTACAACAAGTGCAACAGGTTGGTCGCTTCATTTGTTGTTGCATTTAAAAAACTACAAACATCGAAAACGTATGATCGAAGAAATAAATCCAATAGTGTTTAGCCGATGTGCGATTAACGGCGAAGATCATGAACTTGTTGCAGTAAGCTCTGAATTACAGCCAACTTCGTAAAGGAGCTAACGAAGCGACAAAAACATAAAATCGAGGCCTGGCTGGTTGTTATAGCGCTTGTGATTTATGCTTAACATTGTTTAACAATGCATAATTTTGAGATGATTAAGAATGGTTAAGAATTGTTAACCAGATTTGTTAATGCGTGGTTATAGATATTTCAAGGATGCATAATCATAACTATAAAAAGTAAAAAAACCAATTTAATCTAAAAAATAATTTTGTTATCGACAATTTGTATCTTATAATAATTGATCAATCCACTTTGTATGTGACACGTAGAGGGAGCTTCGAAGTAGGTTATGAAATAAAGTTTTTTACACCCACTGTTTGTCATATTGCCTTTCAAATGTGTTCTTAGTGCGCTCAAGAAGTGAGAGCCTTCATTAAATCTGTTTTGTGGTACTAAGTATTCTTTTCTCTATGTTATAATCGAGAAATGGAATTATGTATTAATGAGTAACGAAATTGCACTTGTCTTGGGATGGTATCAACACCACCAACCATCATCACCTCATATCAATTTATAGGAATAAAATTGAATAAAATTTTAAACATTTCAGAATAATTACAAGTATAAACCGTGATTCAAACTTTTTTGCCTATTGTGCACAAATCACGCCCAACTTGAAATTTAATGTGCAATTCTCTGCAAATTTTTGGCTCTCTACCTTAAATTTGGTAAGGCATGAGATGCTGAGTATTGCAGGAAAGCAAACAACGGTGCCTGAAATTTTAGAGCGATCAAGGGGATATATATGTACACTATGGAGTCTCCCAAACATTCTTCTTATAAATCAAAGAACAAATCTTTTAGTACATTCAGTTCTGCGGTATTACACATAAAAATAATAAGACAAAAAAATTCAGTGATGGGCACTGCCATTAAAATAAGTTTTTTTTTTTTTTGTAGGTATGAAAAAAAATTCAATTGAATTTTCCTCACTTTTCTTATTATGGCTAATACGACACAATCGTTGTTTCGTTTTGAAAATGTATAACTTATGAGTTTCGATATTTTTATTTAAAAATTTATAGAAATGAAAAATGAATTATTTTCGCTTTAATATTGACTAGTTTTATTTTTATTTTTAACTTATTAATTTGCGTATATATTAAACGTAATATGAAAAATGTCATCATATATATAAAAGATTAAAAAAGATGATGAATTTTATTTAATTTTTCAAAAACGGAATGTTTTTAGAAAATACAATATATATATAGACTAAAATAGAAGTTCAACTTGATTTCTTTTGAATAAATTTCGTTAAGGCACTTAAGATCGCTTAGTCTAATGAAGCCGGTATCAGGTAAATTCTTAAATGATAACAAATATATTTTTCATGATATTACATAAAAAATAAAAATATTATTCAAATCATATCTTCACAATACATTTATATAATTTTATTAGTGTATATGGTATTTATTATTTTTAAAATAATTTTTTTAACAAATATAATTTGTGATCACTTTGTTTTTCTTTTATTTATTTAATTTTTTTTTTTTTAATTGTGATGAACAACAACATACCTATAATACTTCGATTTTTCATTCTTTTCTTCTTCTTCCCCTTTTTTTTCTTTTGTTAAATATAAATTAAACTAAAGCTCAAAATCTTATTTCAAAATGAAACGACCCATCAAGCTCATACAGGACACGTTAACTAAATTATTTCTATTTCAACAAATTTTTTTTAACAACAAAAAACTCTATAATTCGGTGGTTATTTCATCTTGTGGTCGAAAACCCAGTTTATAAAACTCGTCTTCCAACCAAAGCGAACTGGCATTTAGATCAGTTATTAAATTGCCATTCTTGAGCGTATTGAAACTACTGCCGAACGGATCGGAAGGTCGAGGCTCCTCAAATTCATGCAAGCTGATTAAAGAGCCGAATATATGCATTTTTTGCGATTTAATTGTATTACTGGTGGTCGTTGTAAGATTCGATGTAGACTGTAGAGGACTTTGCCGATAAAAGCCGCCGCCTCCTGCTTTCTGGCGATATACAGAGTGGGCATCAAATTCGTCAACATCCACCCCCACATGACCGGGTGTTTGAAAGAAATCGATTAGTTGACCAACTTGAGGTTTGTAACGTTCCAGTACTTGTTCGGACCAGCTATATAAGCGATTCCAATCGTGCGGAGCACCTGGTATCAGTTCAATGGGACGATTTAATAAAATAAGAATTCTGGCCAGATCACGTACTATAGGCCGATACGAATTGGCCGCCACAATGTCCCCGCTTAAATACAATTTACGTATTTGACGGCGTGTATCGTTTAGCATGGCTAGGAAATATTCAGCATTTGGCCGCATTTCGTTAAGCTGGCGTAGAAAATCTGAACGATCCATTGAATTTTCATTGATTAACTTTTGTTTAATAGTCTTGCGACGTCTTCGTCGCTTCATCACCATCACCGCTATTGCCAGTATGGAAAGGCATATTAAAAAGCCACCAAACATACCGGCCAAAGCTGCCATTAGCGCTCCAGAGTATCCGGTGGTAACACAAACGCGTCCCATAAATTCGGTGTGGGCCGACCATTGATCTATGTAACCGGCTGGACAACGCTCTACGCATTGCCGACTATCTGTCACTAAGAAGACGGGACATTTTATGCAACCTTCACTATTGCAACGCAAGCAATGTGAACTGGTTGTAGATGGACAACCTGTAATAGAGAAAAGAACAAAGGCATCCTTAACAAATTTTTTCGAAATTACATTTACTGAGAGGGTGAGTTTTTTATGATATGCTCCTATATGTAAATGTATCTTCCTTCAAAATATCAACCAATTTTTTTTATATATATTGTGTGTTGTCTATCTTGTATTTTCTGCATTTCCTTTTTAAACGATGTGTTGCTGTAAGTTTAGGTGAATTGTGTTCTTTCTTTAACCTGATAGAGTCTGCCTTAGAAACAGTCGTCACAGGCAAACCTGGAATGTTGTTTCGAATTCATTTGCAACACTGGGCCCTTTAAAATTAGCTGGGCTCTATTTTAGAGATCTTCGTATCTTCTTCCTCGGATTGCACTTACGTAAGTAATTGTAGATTTCCCTTATCGTATAAGAAGCGATCTACTGCTCTTTCGAATTCAATTGCAACACTCAGGCCTTTAAAATTAGCTAGTCTTGGTTGGGGAATAATAATACGGTTTATGTACTCATTCTAGGTAGATGCGGATTTCCGGATCTTGTTCCTCGGATTGTGCTCACATAAACAATTGCGCAATTGCCCCCTCGCATAGGGTGCGATCTACTGCTCCTTCAAGTTTATTTGCAGAATTGAGGACTTTATGGTTAGTTAGGTTGGATTTGGAAACAATAATATGGTTCATGTACTCGCTATGGGTAAATAGAGATTTTTGAATCTTCTTGCTCGGATTGCGCTTACATAAATAATTGTGGATTTCGCTTCTCGCATAGGTAGCGATCTACTGCTCTTTCTAATTTATTTTCAAAACGGAAGGCTTTATAGCTGGTTGGCTTGGATTGGGGAACAGTAATATAGTCAATGCGCTTGCTCTGGATAAATAGAGATATTCGGATCTTGTTTCTCGAGTAGCAATTATGTAACCAATTGTGACACTTTTTCCTCTCCCTGTCATTGATATTGGTGGAATACATTTTGCTAAATTTCCTCTCTCTTCTCCGAAATCATTACTCTTTGCTTCTCCTAAGCTAATAAATAGAGTGCCAACAACACACCCGACACAATAATATAGACGGACAGACATAGCTAAATCAACTCAGAATTTCACGCTGACCAAGAATGTATATACTTCATTGAGTCTCTGAAGCTTCCTTTTGGTTGTTACATATATTATGAAAAAAGAAAACAAAATGAGTATACACCCAAAAAATAGCTTATTTTTATGCAGAGAGTTGTTAAACAAATAAGAAAAGGATATAATTGCACGGTTTATTAGCAAAACAAACAACTAGTTAGTACGCAGCCATTGTCCATGCGGCCGAACGCGATTACTCAAGGCGAAGACTTCTTAAAGACAATGAAGAAACAGACGGACCAAGCGGAAAGCGATTCTCACAAATAAATAACAAATCGCAGCCGAATCAAGCAGATGAAGCAACAAATGGTTCAAGCAGTGTCAACTACTTGCCTACATACATACATACATCTATGCGTACCACAAAGCTATCCATTCGCGACATCTGCGCAGAAGAGAAAAACTTGATGCTCTTAGCTAACGGCGAAGTGCAAGCATGGACAACAGAAAATATCAAAAGGCAAAACAAACACATTATTATGTGCAAGTGAAAATACATGAAAGTTGTTATACTTATTTCGTGCAGCAATTGAATTCTAAACTGATGAAGTCGCTGAAGTCTTACCACTTGCTTCTAGATAACAATGCGAATGACGCATCAATGGTAAAGTTCGTGGCTTTTTTTTCAACAAAATTGCAAACAAATTTATTGATGAAGTTTACTGAGACACGAGAGTACCACAGGCGGCTTTTCAATTGTGCTTTAATTATGTTACTTGATGATAATGGCCAGTGGAATTACTTATCTGGCGAGCTAGGGCCGCTTAGAATGCACGACTCCTTTTTAATCTAGTCAAACGCAAAGTCCTACATTACGTGTCGTCAATCGGGCCACAATTTCTAGAGCGTCGTACACAATTTTTTCGTTGTTATCGTATATTATCTCTATTCCTTCGTCTCTTCATTGTCGCTTTGGTCTCTTTCATTGTCCTCACGTTTCGTATCAAAATGGGTTAGTCGGTACAAATTCGGTTCATTGAATTCTCCTCTACTGTCATATGTTTTTAAAATGTCGGGTCTGTTCAAAAAGGGTTCAAAAGTGTTTCGCATCGGTGCCGGTCCTGACATTATCAATGATTAGCCACCGAACGAGACTGCGAGGCGTTTTTAACGCTCATAGCTGATCATAAACAATAGGAATTTTTGATAAGCCTGCGGCTTATGTTTAAGCGACATTGATAATCAGACATATTTTTTCAAAGTTTTCGCTCATCATCGAAAGGCAATTACTTTAAACTGAGCTTACAAGTGTCCCAAGGTTTTTGTCTTTTGATTATACATGGGATGTGCCAACGATGTCGATAAGTTGATAGTCTTGTCTAAACTCACTAATTAACTCAAAACGTTACGAACTTTTTTCCTAATCTTAATCTTAGGATCGATTATCAATTAGATCAATTATTTTGAAATAGCAAAAAAAATTGAAATATTTTGAAAGTTTTAAATGCATTTGCCCAAATCCGTTGGTTTAGGGCAGGCATGGGACGAAAGTCTCTTTATTTGATATATCAATTACATATCGTATTGTTTTTATGTGAAGTAACTTTTCTAGTTTCGAAAAAGAAGTCAAAGTCAACAAGTGATTTGGTAAATATTCTTTTTTTTTTTGTCAATTACATGAGAATTGATAAAGTATACAGAGGATCGGTTAAAACGTGCAATATACGTGCTTAAAAATCAGTTATGGTTGTTAAATTATTTAGCATTAATAAGAGTGAAGACTATATCTTACTTTCGACGATTACCATCGAAAGCCAAGGGTGTGCTTGATTTGTTAAGCCATTTGTAATGTCAAGCGAAAGGCGTTAACCTTCTCCTCGACGGCTGAAGGTTTCGAGCCGACTGTTCGTTTGTTCTGACTTATCATAAATGATTAGAAATATGGTTTGCAAGGCAGGCATGATTGGTTGGCCCGTATGTCTAAAAATTGAAAAATTTTGACTTGAACTTAATATCAATGAAATATATAATTTTGAACTGACTAGAAAAACCAATGTAATTTATTTTTAAAAAAAAGTAGCCGATAATGTCAATTGCTAGTCCTCCTAATTTTTATGCGCTAGTTATGGTACAAGAGTATATTAAGTGTTGGGATAAACCTCCCTTTCATTGTGTCATGTCTCAAGAGTCACTTTCTGAATCGATCTAAGCTTATCTACCCATTCGTCCGTCTTGTTTTCTTGGGTTCAATCTACAGGTGGAAAATTTTTGAGATATGAAATTCGGCGTGTTTTGGACCAAGAAGGAACGCTATTGAAAATGGTTCGATTTGGACCAGTTTTGCAATCAGTTTTCACGTAACGTTTCATTTTTTAGGTTAGTGTAGGATGCTGCATGGTGGGCCGCAGTTTAGTATACTCTTTTTATTTTGTCAGTCCTAAAGTTTATTTCTTTGATCTAAATAATTTATAATAAAAATAATGGAAAAAAAAGTAGCAAATATATTGCTGTCAGCAGCTTATAACAAGACAGTCACATACTGAAGAGGTTTGAAGCCATTGATGGTCAATCAAAGAGTCAATTGACACACCCACAATTTATATTTGTAATTTTGTTACGTTGTCTTGGGTGTAATCAAGATTATCTCAGAGAAAAACTTGTGTTCATTTTTCTTAACTGTTTTTTTTCTTTTTAACCTTTGTTTTAATTCGACTTAGTGATGTACGTTCATAACTTTGTAAGCACGAACGAACATCTGCTTATATTAAATAATTTACTAGTAAGTGCAGTAAGCGCATTATCTAAAATGGCTGTTGAGAGATAGCTTTACTTGGCGGTATTTCTCTGTCTATAAAAAAGCAATTATTCTGATGATTTTGTTCTTTTTCACGTCTGGTTTTTTTTTTTTTTTTTGACAAGATTAAAGACGAGAGCATGCAATGCAAGCCTCATTAATGTGCTTGCATAATCTTTGTAAGTCAGGTATTCGAAATTCCTGGAACGACTTCGTTTACATAGTAAGTCCTAAGGCATTATTGACTTCATTCTATGAGTCGGTTGAGAGGCGTTAATATTTCTTTTTTGTGGCATTGATAATGTGTGAAATTTTTAAATTCATCTGTGTGTGCACGAGTGTTCAACCAACCTTCTGCAAGTGCTTATTGTTTGTTTATTAGATTTAAAATATTCTTTGCTTAGCATTGCATTGGAGGCATCCTTATTTCAAATTTTTTTAAAGCTTTGTCTCCGGCAGATATAACGTTTCCGATGCATTGTAAAATCGCTTTGTACGCCAAGCATACTTTTTTACAATATTATTTTATACGATGTAATGGTATTTACAGCACTATTTGAGACATGTACCGATAAAGGTACACACAAAAACATGGAAATTAATTTTTTATACATAATCTAGAGATTAATAACAAATAAAAAAGAAGAATTTATATATTTTTTTTTGTGTATAAGCATGCTAAATTTCATGTACCGGAAAAGGTACAAAAACCCAAGACGAAGTCGAGAAATGCCATGCACTCGTAAGCAGCAGGGAACGTGCTCGCGAACTTTTTATAAAATTAACTTCACTTTTTGTAAAGAAAAAGTGATTCCAAGGTGCTGCCTGCTTAACTGTTGCTCAATAGAAGTCGTAAAAATTAACCTAATTCCTAAGCATCTGTCCAATAAAGTGTTGAAAGTCTTCTCTATATAATTCAATATAATTGTTCCGCGTATGGGGTTTTATTTGAGTTGTGTTGTGTTATACATGTACGCGCGTGTATGTCTTCTACAGCAAATACTGAAAATGTGTACGTTGCTTAGCACATATTTGCCTTTCCAAAGAAAGACGTACATGTTTTTGTGCATCTGTTAATAATTACAAACATCTTAATTATCGATAAAACCTGCGAGAGAGAAAGTTATACTAAATTTTAGAAAATGTT